ATAGTATAATCAAATTAGCACCAGCCAATCAAATGACAGATTTAAAAATCGTTTGTCTAATCGGCCAATCAGCGCTCAGTCCAGATTCTGGACTGAACAACCAGGCAAAATGCCACTTTTGTGTCAGGCCGTACTTTTCTCCCCTTCGCCCACGATCAGGCGTGCCTGTGCCCTAAAAAGTACGGCCTGATACTCAGGTTAACTCTGAGTGTGTATCCACACCGGGCGAGCTTGAAAAATATGCCTGGCCACGGTGGGAATCGAACCTACGACCTTTGGAATACCAGCCGTAGGTCGTAGGTTCGAATCCCACCGTGGCCAGGCATATTTTTCAAGCCTGCCCGGTGTGGATATACACTCAGAGTAACATCACACAAACATCTTATTCACCTGAGTACATTACACCAACACAGCAAAAATAAACAGGTTGTCATATTAATGTCTCTCCTTATCAATAGTTCTCAATTTTACAAAGAATATGTGGCGTGAGGGGCAAAATACGGATTTAAATCTAGCATAGAGATTATAAATGATCATGTGTTTTATGTCTATGGCCACGGCCACCAGGATAACCTGAAGTTCAGGCCCTAATTTGAAATAGGGCCTGACACAAAACCCGTCTAGACCGTGGGACGCCCACATGTTATTTTTAGACACACATGCAATATGATTGACAAGTGTTGTAGATTTCGTTACACAAAAAAATTATATTCTCATGAACATGTCCGCAGAGCATTTTGCTTTTTAATTAAACTTAAAAATTCAAGGTACTTTTATATAATTAAGAGTCAGTTTCTGGTGCACGGCTTGACTGCCAAGCTTTCTCAAGGTCTCAACTTGCTGGACGCGGATCAGAACTCTAACGACTAACGGGCTAACAACAGCAACAATTACATTCTCAATCATACCACGAAGAAGGCGATGTAGCTCAGAAAACAACGCCGGTAGGACCTGATATTAAAAATAAGACTTTTGCCGGCGAAGCAAGTTGGCAGAACATCTTGGCTGTCAACAACAAGCTTTCGAATACATGACTAGTTTGGCTGTTCTTTCAGCGTCGTGTGTTTCCAAATTCGTCAAAGATTTTGATGAAGCCCTTTCAAAATACTGTTTGTTTGATTTATTTTCTGCCATAAAGCATAAAAGAAATTCGAAGAAATCGATAATGGAATTTGTTACGTGCGTTTGACCTTTATATTAATTCTCGCCCTGACCGAGCTATTTTTAAAACTGTTGTTTATGTGAACTTGCAACCAATCAAAATCCTTCATGATGTGATCAGCATGCTTGATACCAATCAGATTTTCCGTCCACCAGGTGGACGGGAATCCCACAGTTTAGATAGGTTTTGTGTCAGGCCCTATTCTGTGATTAGGGCCTGAACTTCAGGTTACCACCAGGAGATCAGTGATCGCGTGTTATTAGCCGCCATTTTGAAACTGAACCAAATAGGCCACTGGGGTCTACGATCCGTTGGTGGAAATGTATCTATGTGGAAATGTCACGTTTGTGACACCCGCTCCTCAAAAAAACGAAGATAGAAAGGCCCTCATTTTTGGGGTTCGAATTTCTGTGGATGGCTTGCTGTGCATATGGATTCAGTTCGTCTGAACGAAAGTCGTCTTTTGAAAAGAAACGATGTTAAACTCGACCAGTCGACAGATCAAATGGCGAATTACTTATATTAATAGCAACATACTTACTTTCGAAGTTTCTCCAGCATTGATTCACGAAGCTTATCGTCCTGAAAAGACAAAAAAAATAACGAATATAAACTAAATTCTAATTCAACTTATATTTGGAAATATAAACTGACCAACACTAGAAATATCATGCATGGTTGAAGTTAGATGACGAAGTTAGGGACTTTCTTACCTTCAGCACACAAATATCTGCAGCACGAGTTCGTTCAGTTAACTTTTCAACCTTGAAATCCAACAACATGTCCTTGACAATATTTCCTCCGAGGTTTTTTACTGGTTCCCTCAGTTGTGAAGCGTTAAAGAAAAGTTTATCTTCAACGTCTGCGTTTTTTATGAACCCAAAACCCGTATCGGAATTGGTAAAGGAAACTACACCTTGCATCCGTTGTTCATTGTATTCATCCCAGTGCGTTTTAGTGCGTTTTTTTAAGACTGCCCCAGCATGCGGCTTTTCATCTTTCTGCTCATCCAAGCCGTGTTTTTGGTCAGGCTTTTGGATGTCGATAGAACAAAGTGATGGAGCAACAAGAAAGTTTTCTTTTTCCACATCTTCTTGCTCGCTATGCTCAGACGAAGAATCACCGTCTCTATTAACAATGTCGGAAAGATCACTAGGTTGTGTCCCTGCATCACGCATCACTCGCCAAGCACTAAGACCAAAGTCGTCAAATGACAAGCAGAACTTTACCGTATCGCCCAATGATGGCATCGACGGTTGTGCGTTTAACGGTACAAACCAAACCGGAAGGCGTCCTTTAAATGTAATAGTACCTTGCCATTCACTCCGAACTGCTGTAATAGTTCCTTCCCATTGGGTGATATTCTTTTCAAAAAGGGAACCTTCGATGGGTTTCCTTTTGTCAGACGTAGAAACGATATCTGTGCCTTTGATGAGGTCATCATGATGGAGTAAGCAATCAATCGACTCAATATGACGTCCATTTTCCGGATGTAGCCACTCAAGAGGAAGAACTAAATGTTCTTTCTTGTTATACCTTTTAGATTGTTGATGTTTTGTTAACTTCTCTGCTTCATCCATTTTCGAACGATCGGACGGATCTTTCAACGCGATTAAAATATGCACGACAAAACTGTAATGATTCAATAATACAAAAGTCAGTGATGGAAATTCGTTGGGGCAAAGCCAAATGAACTTCAGACAAAACTGCAATTTACAACTCACATTTGCTGAATCCTTTTAAACCATTTCAAAGAAGAATATTATATATGATTACAGACTAAATACTTTCCATAATAAGTTCATACCGTGGTTAAAAAGCCACGAAATATAAATACAACTTAATAAAACTAATAAATAGAAAACTAAAGTTTGTTCGTTCACTGCAACCAGGTATATCAATCATGTTTCGCTCGCTACTCTGGTTTAAATAAATGATTACAAAGTCCAGTCGAATTGTAATCAAGACCCAACGTTTCGACACTCCAGTCTAGTGTCTTCATCAGGGGTGATCTAAAGATGCAATCGTCGCTTAAATACCCGAGGGATGACGTCACCTGCCAATGAGATGCATGCATTCCTCTGGCAAATAGACACCGTCATCTCTATTCGAAACATGATTACTTATATTTACATGCAACGCTTCTAGGCAAAGTCTTGACCATGGCGATTGTTTGTGGTAATTACTTTAGAGTTTTCCCACGCAATCTCGTGTTTGGTGTAACATACATGTTCTGCTAAAGTTGATTCTTCCATGTTTAAAGCCTTCAGTTTGATGTTCTTTTAGCCGTGTACCAAACTGGCGTTTAGACTGACCCAAATACTCTTTTTTGCAGTCACCGCATGGTATAGAATATACAGCATGAGTTTTCTGATTTGTTTTAACAGGATCTTTTGGCTTTGCGAAAATATGGTCTAAAGTCAAATAAGGTTTTAAGGCAACCTTAATATTACAATTACTTAAGATTCTCTTGATTGGTTCTGTGACACCTTGAATGTATGGAACTATTGCATAACCCTAACAGAGGCATCACCCTCGGAGTTATAAAACTAAATATAAAACTAATAAATATAAGGGTTTTGTAGATGGCAATTTCGAGTGTGTATTTTATACATTTATTAGACCTAACCAGGAGCAGTTATAAAAAATACAACTACAGAGTATAGTTCCTCTGGCAGGAATCGAAGCAGCTAACTAACTGAGCTACAAAGGCCAGTTGTCGAGCTCTAACCTCAACTTCGAATTAGGAATACCAGTAAAATAAGCAGACCCGCAGCGAGGGGGGTTCAGCGAAATACTACCCCCAGCAGAGGGTCTATAAATGATACACTATACAAAAAGTTAGAGAACCCAATAAAATGAGAATAAACCAACTTAGCTTGCTGAATTAACTAAGCGAATACAATGTATTTTGACGTTTCCTCTTTAAAATATCTAAGCTTGTTATTATACCTCAAATTGTCCAATCAAAAAAGAGCATTTGTACCACGTGATGTGATTTTTTACGGTATTTCACTCAAATTCATGATTTCGCAATTCGTGAGTTGTTGTTTGTATAAATTTCGTACAAAAGATTTATTGATTTTACTAAAGCTTAAGATCTTCAAAAAAGGTAAAGTCCCTCGGGAAATATCATCACTGAGGGTGAAATTTCGCCGAATCCCCCTCGCTCCAGGTCTATAAATGATAATATTTACGTGAAAATTTTTATTTAAAGCAAGAAATCTTTACGAACAAAACCTCGAGAACGCCATATTTTTCATAGCTATGGCAAGCGTGTGGTTTCCACGTGTGTTTCCACCTCAGATTCATGGGATACTATAATATCTTAGGATTGGGTGGAATTCTGCAAAAATTACGTCATGTGGTAAAAAATGCTGTTGTTTAATTGGGCAATTTAAAATTGGGGTATAATACAATTATATAGTTTTACTCACTTATAAAATTCTGCTTGAGGTGACGCTACCCGCCTTTTCTTCATCTTATTGGACCATTCGTAAACTCTCCTCATTACTTCCTGCAAATTTGGCACAGACAATCGCTGACGCGAATAGCGAATCCAGAATTTCATGAAACGATCTCCAAACTTTGAATGTGAATCATACTCCTCCATTTTTATTAATTTTGATTCAATCTCTTCAGGACTTAAAACCTTGCTTTCAATTTCCAATGCATTGTGTAAAATTTGGGTTTGCAGAAGTATTTCATGCAGCCAAGCTGAACAATTAATGAAAGAACTGCAGTTTTTCTCTTGTCCAATTTTATCGCACAACCACGTGAGATTCTTTAAGTCGCCAATGCAGTCAAGAAAGGTTTCCTTCCAATGTTTTTTCTGCTCAAAGTCGATGCATCTTTCATCAAGATACTCATGCGCATCGGAAATCAGAGACAAGAGATATCGTGAATTTGGTGAAATGTCCTCATCATCACTTTCCTTAATTTCATTAATTCTTTTAATTAGATAGTCCACGAAGCTGATATTTTTACCACCCATTAGTTTAATTCCTGCTTGCATAACAGTAATTCGCACTATTGCATCAGATATGTATCCATGGCTCATGTGTGGTTTTTTAGACCGTACAAATTCGAAACATTTACTGCTTTGCTCTGCATAGGATAAAATTATTTCCATATCCTCTTTCGTTTTCATTTTTTCCACAAGAACCTGTACATATAAGCGAATTATATCGCCATGGATATGATGTAGAAAGGAGTCTTGTTCCTGCTCGTCAATAGCAGCCTCGATTAGCTTTTTCGCTTCCGCGAAATCTTTGTACTGTATCATATAATACTTAGCTAAACGAGCTCGTAAATGAGCTCGCATAGAAGAGTGTCTCTCTGTCCCGTTAAAGACGTCCACCAACTCTTTTAATGTATCCCGCGCAGTATCAGGATTTTTAACTTTCATAGTTCGAATAAGCTGCGAAAATTTTTCACTTTCGTACTCACTAGTCACAAACAGTTTTCTTGTTAATCGATCAATTTTCCTCGTGGTGATATACTTACTCAGCACATGTTTAGCCATTGTGACAGAAACATATTTAATATACTTCCAGTACGGATCGTCTTCACTCTTCGCACTGCTTGACGTTGCACTTAACTGTTTTAAACTTAACTGTTTTAAAATTTCGCATGCTACTCCATGAAACGATATTCGACGGGAATCACTGTCATCTGCACGTGGACTCAATAATTCTTGAAGATACTTGTCTTCCAGTTCTTCTTCCAATATTACATTACTCTTGTCAAGAAAACGAACAAGAGCATTTGCTGGAAGAGAATAGTTTGTAAAAACGTGAGTGAGTGAAAAAAAGGCGAGTATGTTTTGTTGACGTTCATCTGCCAGGGTCAGCCTGAATTTCACATACTGTTTCAAACCTTTGAATTCACTGCCGAAAGCAAGTAAACTGAAATGAGCAAATGTTGGTGGGTTATTTTTATCTTTTCTGGCCTTGTCTTTGAATTTTAACAATTCGTTTTTCTTTTCTTTTGCTAGTACAGCAAGGACTTTTACCAGTTGTTCCATTTCATCATTATCCAAGGTCCGTTCAAGCTGAACTACTTTATACGGACTTGGTCCATACAAGGAACTATCTCTGGCACTTTTAGTGCGCGCTTTACGTGAGGGCAAAGATTCGCTAACTGAAAAAACCTCAGAAGGTTCGATCAAAATAAATATGACGTTTACGTTTCGACGCTCGACTTTTTTCTTGAAATCCAAGAATTCTTGCAAATGTGCGATATTCTCATCAACAAAAAGTATAAGTGGTAATCTAGTTTTTTTATTAATTTCTTCGATGTGGCTTACAAGACCATCTTTTATTTCAATTAACTGTGCACATGGATAGGATCTGTGCTGCTCATAAAGAAATTGTAAACACATAGTTGTCGATCCTGCCCCGCGATCCACTCTTACAAAAATGAGCGAGACATTTGACTTTTTGTCACAGGAAAGTGCCTTGAATTTTCTTTCAAGATCATCCATTCTTGTTCTTCTTATAGCAATGCTACCATGCAAACCATCATTTGTTATTGCAGAACCTGAAAAGAAATTCCTACGTTCCTCGTTTAGCGTTTGCTCATGTACCTTACTTCTTTTCTTCATGTACATTACTTCAATATAACCCTCAAGATTTTGTCTTAATTGTTGTGGTAAAATTTGTGGGATAATTTGAGAGCCAGCGTACGGAAAAGATTTCTTATGGGGTACCTGATAATCATCTTCTGGTCGGTAAGGTGATGGTAATTTTAGTGAAAGAAATCGTGCTAGAACATATGGAGGTGCAACATACACTCGGTCTTCGGATATGGTGTCCAAGTTATCCTCTTGGAGTGGCGCTATAATTTTTCTGCTAATATCTGAACTAGCTTTAGGTGTTGCGCAGACAAACGTTATTACTGTGCTATCATCTCCGTTCAAGCTTATTATGTCTTCCAAAATTGTCCGTAACGATTCTACTAACGCTTGGTGCCCTTCGTCCCACAAAACTACAACATTGAGGCAGTTAGGTTTCACGCTGGCTTCTAGATCTACACTCAAAAGTTCTCTTACACGTGATCTGTGTGTTTTGTTCCATTTCGCATGACTTTCTCCTGAGAGAGACTTTTCATCCTCACGATATCCCCGAGCAACTAACCAGCACACAGCATGTTCGCGATTCAAATCTAGTTTAGAATCATGGGGTGTTTTAAGAAATCGACCTCGCTTAGGCTGGTAACGGTCATTCAGTTTTTGGAATAGCTGGTATAAATGACCTGATTGCTTCGGTTCCTGATCCAAGTCTATAGTCAAAGTCCATTTTGGGATGACAAGTCCGAACAAATCTCTTTCTTGTTCATGGAGGTCAAACGGTGAAGCAACCATGATGTACGAATTTCCGGCGTTATCGAATTTTTTTACATCTTTTAGAAACGTATCAACATTAAATTGAATGGTGGAATCTAATTTAAACCTGCACATCAGATCTTCTACACTTAACTTAGATGTGCATAGTTGCTTTTCTCTGTTTTTGCTAAATACATGTGTGTCTATCGTTTTAATCATATTGATCGGATAAGGGGACCGTCTTACGTTTAGCTCAATTACATAGATAGTTTTCAAAATAATATTTAAATCCGTTTCACTGATTGTCTGTAACTTAAACTTGGAGTTCTCTTTTACAAATTGTTCAACGAGCTCGGTTAAATTTACACTGGCGGACGTCTGTTTTGTGGCTACTGCGCAGAAACGTTGCGATCTGATTGGAATAACAGTGGAACGGCTTCCAGCTGGTAGCTTATTGTGGACAAACTTTGGCCACTTTTTACCAATCTCATCGCTTGGACCAGTAATCACAGTATATAATTTACCTCCTCCTTTATCCTTAACGATTAACTCGGAAGATACACGAACAGAATGAAATTTTATGTCAAATTGACTCCTACAAACTGGCGGATAAAACTTTCTAAGTGTTTTGACCGTTGTTTCCACAAGTTCTTTTCTCTCTTCCGTTGACAGTACGATGCCTACAATATGACCCATTTTAGATTGCTCGTCTTCTTCTATGCCAAAAAAAATATTTCCTCCATCTGAGTTTAGGAAACCACATGAATAAGGAGCAAGATATTTTTCCAGTATTGTCTTTACTGGATTCTCCCCCCAAATCATCTTCAATTCGTGATGCTGATTTTCGTTGTTGACTTTATCTAGAACTCTATATTCTTGTTTTCCTTTTTGCGATGTACATTTTTCTTCATTTTGCGCATCGTCTTCCTCGTCATAGTCCTCTTCAAAAACTGGTTCGATTTTCCTACTGGCCAAAGATTCGAGATCATAGAACAGATGCTCATAATTAGTTATTCGCTTATTTTGTGCCCCAATACGCTGAAACGCGTGAACGTCTGAAGCTTTTGTAAAATATACTTTGCACGCTTCACCTTTGGGCACATGGATCCAACCTAAAGCTCTGCTGCTGTCATCGCAAAGCGGAAGTACGCAGACAAAGCATCTCTTTCTATGCACAAGTTCATTCGCTTCTTGTATATTTCGACAGATATCTGCGCCTTCGTTAGCTTGAGGTAATAGGTTTCCAATAGCATTGGTTAGTCTTTCGCACCATTTCTTTATTTCTCCGTTGCTGACTACCTTTCCAGCTATCTCACCATTTTTTTTAACACCAACAAATACTTCGCCATCAAAACTATTTTTGAAAGCCACAACATATCGCAGTATTATTTCGTCTGAAGTATCGGCGTCACAATATACTCTTTCTAAATCGTTGTCGACAATAAAATCACCTACTTTTAAGTTCAGTTCGTTGGCATTCTCTGAACCAGCTTGTAGAGGCCACCAGCATTGTGAAAGTTGCCTTTTCAGCTTTGGTGATTTAGTTTCTACGGAAAACAGAGCATGATCATCCGAATCGATAACCAATTTGAATTTTAACATCTTACAACCATCTTTGTTTACAACGTCATCCTTTTTGTCCAATTTCTCAACTCGTCCTTTCACACCCACATGCATATTTGTGTTAACTTCCTTCAAAAGAATGTCAATTTCATGTTGATTACTTTCACACCTTGCAATGTCAATCTTTATTTTGTTGTAAAAGCTCACGGCCCCCTGCGGGTCGTCCCTGATAAATAATGTTACGATATTTTCCTGGATATGTGGAGAACTCAAACATACACCGGTTACTGTAATTACGCTACCGAAATGCGAAATTGACGATTTATCATCATTCTCAAAATCCTCAAGCAACAATGATTTCCCGATTCCGTCAAGAGCTTCAACCTTACCAAATAGTACTTTTCTTGAACTGTATATAGAATATAATGAAAAAGCAAGAAATGAGAAGACATGAAAATCTCTAACATCAAAATTATACAAAATTATACAATAATTGTAATGTAATCATTACGACTATTTCTATACATGCAGATCTAATGTTGGATACCAAGGACAAGGCAAACCAAACATATAGGATATACTAAGCTTTTATGTTTTCTGCTACAGAGGCTGATTGTACGAAATTAAAAGCATTTGTGATTAGAAAGGGGTGGGAAGCAGTCGGAAAGGGGTAATCAAATAAGTTGATGACGATAGTAATACTGAATATGAAATACCTGTTTGAAGTATCTTGTTCCTGTGAATCAACGTTCGGTCTTGAATCATTAGGATCATTCGAACCATCGGAAACTTCTTTTGTTCCTTCGTCCAGCGGCGTAAATAAAGTTCTTTCTTCTAGGTTCAAGAGAAAATATTTCATCATAATGAACACTGGAATTTCTTTAAGTAACTTTTGGAAACTTCGAAACGTGAAGCATTGTTGAACAAAATATGGTTTAAAGGCTCTATTCGCTTACCACCTCACACCCCTGAAATGTGAATTTGGGAGTAGCACAAGCTTCAGATCGTCTTTTTGGAGACACGGTATTTTAAAGACTTCTGAGGAACTAAGGAACGACAGCAGACAAACTCGCAAAATGCTTCTAAACGTCCTTGGTAGTACTACTATTATAGGGTGCATGTCATGTACCTTCATGATATGCTTCTGTTCCAACTGTTTCTGCGGACGTTCGTTGATCTTTCTGCCACATGTTGAACAAAATATGGCCATAACTGGGAAACATTTTTCTCCAGTCTTCCTTTTCTAACTTGTTTACTTGATTGCCATCAAGGGTTTTTAAAGTTGACACCAGGTGGATATCTATCTCTAACATTTCGAACCAGCGTTGTACTGTCGGGTCCGTCCATGCCTCTGGTACTTTCTCTGCCTTTGATGTTTCTTCTGCAAGATGAAAAATATCTACTGTGTAACAACGGAAAATTAGTACAAAAGATGACATTTAAATATATGTTTTTATATAAATATATATTATAGCTTTACTATATATATAGTACAAACCCATTGAATGTTCCTTGTCCTGTTTCAACGTTGCTTCTTTATTTTTTTTCGGTCTTTTGTGTCTTTTCTTCTTTTTTCCCACTTCCGGCATTCCTAAGAATGTTTAGGAGCCAGATAGACATTTAACAATTTGACAACGAGGCCGTGTTGAGCTAATAGTCGACGAAATCGCAACCTGAGTTGACGTAGTCCCGGTTTTCAGACTACAGTAGTCACCTAATCTCAAAAATTCTCATTTTTATTACTCACCTCCATACAATGGTAAGATTAAATCAACAGTTGATCCGTGGTATATTTCTTGTTTAAAAAGAGTTTTTTCTTTGTCAACCTTCATAATAATGCAATGTACACTTGTTAAACAAATACAAGATAACATTTCACCGTTGCCTTTTTAGTAATAGGTACCTAATGAGGTCACAGAAAAGTAATAACAAAAAAGGAAACTTGCTTCAGGCCTCTTTCTCTGATCTACTGTAGTCCGATTTAAATGGTGTATCAAACATTAGGGAGAGCGATGGCAGACTTGTCAAATACCAAAACAATTCGTGTGATTTGTTTTTCTTTTCTATTATGTGCTTCACTTCTATAATCTAGAATACTCTCAATTGTCTACGCTTCAATTCAGTCCTTTTTAGTTCTATTCCGTTCAAAATTCGGAAATAATATATTCAGTTTTTTTATTCAAGATTTTATTCAAAATGTGTTGATATTTCAATTAAATTCTATAGGATTATACCTCTTTTGCTCCAAATATAAGATTGTACTTTGTCACATCTTCTTCAAGTTCTTGAGCCAACACATCATATAAATTATTGCCAACCGAAAAGAGATCGATATTGATTGCCTGTAGCTGTAAGTTGCTCTTTCGTACAAAGATTTGACTTTTATAGCAACCAGACCAACTGTTTCTAAATAAGAGAAATTTTGTGCACATGGGTGGTTATCCCGTGCCTAGATCAAGAGACTTTGTGATTAGTTGATTATGGTAATAAAATATAATAATTTATAGTAATCAACATATGCTTACTCACGACTGAAATTGCCCCTTCCCCAAACAAAGGTCACAAAAAACCCATCTTACGCAAAGCTATAAATTGCGGTAAATGAAGAATAATCACCTTGTCACTACAGATTCGTTGCTTTTCATTTCAGAAATTGGACTCGTATTCGTTTTCTGAATTATGGAGATGAAATATTTAATATTAATAACACTAATTAAACTTTCACAGTGTTTACGTATGGTTTTTACAGCACGTATCGCGGAAGCGTTGCAGATGGATAGTATTAATTAACAAGCTTTCGTTAGTAGAAATGCTACCTGCCAGGTAGCTGTTAATATTATTGGCACAACCTACACTGGTACAGACAGTTCAAGGAAATAATTCGTACTATACATTACAATAAATACCTGGTTACTTTTGTTGATAGGCCTACTATTCATCAAATCCGTCGGTGACATTTTACTGACACCATACAAGTTGACATCGCCATGGGATATCGTGGAATGTTTCAATTCTCTTTTTTCTTTCCTTGGTAAGCCACTGCGAATTGCTCTCTTTTGTTTATTGAATTTAGAACAGCAGTTCAAGATCTCTCGTACTGATCCTGAGTACGTTTTGAAAAAGAAGAAAACAAGATTGATTTTGCTAATAATTGGACAAAATGCTACAAATAAGCATAAAGACTTAAAAACGAAATCAGCGACGCAGATGAAAAGCGGAAATTTAATGGTTAATTTCCAGAAAAGTCAGCTTACCAAGGAAAACGTTGCAAACTTTGCCCACAGGAAACTTGTAGAAAATTACTTTGATATATTTTGCTCATGCGTACTATAGGCAGAAACATTTTTGCTTTTTACAGCAGAAACAAGTTCCTAGTCGCGGTTCAATGGTAAAATCACCAGTTTCCCTTTATGTCAAGAAATGATATAATACCACGCATCTGTAATCCTGCACGTTTTATCAAATAAAAAAGCTGTATACAAACTGTTTAAGGCGTCAGGAATTCTGTCCATGAACGTTGACTCCAAGTGCAGTAATCTTTCTCGATATTTTGTTTGCATCTCTTTTAATTCCTACAGTTAAAAATAATAATTTCAATCAGGCAAACCAATACCTTATACAAAATGGATTGGAATGTGCATACTAATTTAATTACAACACCTGAATGCACCAGCAAAGTTACTGACGTGGTGTAATTGCCATAGAACTGCTGACTCTAGCATAGCCTTTTATTTTTGAAGCAATTGCCCCTCCCCCCTCACCAGGGATTGGATTTGCCACTCATGTAACATCGATTCTGTGCATGGAAAAATAGCCTTTTACAAGGCATCAACGATTGGTCCAAACTGCGCAGGGTAAAGAAAATATCATGCCAAAATCTTAAAAATTTTCCCAGGTTGACACAGCAAAAAATCGACAAACCATGACAGACCACACATTTTTCCTATTTGAAAGAAAGAAATTCGCTTTTGAATCTCCTCCGTGAAAATTCTTTAACTGGACTTTTAACTGTAATAGAAATACATACAAAACCATTCTCGTTCCCAGGGCTTCTCGGCTGCCTTACGTTGCCTTACAAAACCTGCAGCATATATACATACCACCTGTTATTTTTAATGTGCAAGTATAAAACTTCCACCCATGCACTGGCGTACCTGTAATAAATCTGCGTTTGAATTGTCAGCGTTTTCTTGATTAAGGTTGTGTATCACGCATGACAAATTTTCATACTGTTCAACCAGTTTTGACATTTCGGATATCTGCAAGAAAATATATACAAATTACAAGTCGAACTTAATAAAAAATAAAAAATAATAATTATAAACTATTCGAATCGAATCCCAGCCCAAGTAACGATTTTGAGTCCAAGCTTATTAAGGAGAAATCTAGGGGGCTGAAACTTGCCATGTATAATCGTGAAACAATTTCAGCTCAGTTAACTGGGTTGAAATTCAACCCTGGTTGAAAACTCTCCATGTAATCACCCCCTAAAATAAATACCTATATTTTTGTTTCGGGAATCATGAATGTAAAAGAATGTCGAATCTTGGTAAAATTACTTTTGCGTTTTTCTCCTTTTCTTGTTCCATGAGAAAATTCTTGTATTTTTTCGTCATTCGGAGACGGCATAGTCGATTGTCTTGACAAATCCTGCCAGAATTTCCAACAAGAATCACTTGTGGCTGCAAGGAAGGTTTTCGCCGTTTCCGGCATCTCTTCATTTTGATCTGTTAGAAAAGAGATTAACACAGTGCCGTAGCCAGAACGATAATTGAGGGGGCACATATTCATATATTTGTGTTCACATACCATAAAAACAATTGATTTCAAAGAAATTAGTAAAGCAGAACACGAATATATGAATATGCCCCCCCCCCCCAATTATCGTTCTGGCTATGGCACTGAATTAGCATAGCTCAATATATAGCTCGCATGGGATATCGCACACACACATTAAATTAGTAAAACTTTCAGTTAGAGCTTCTTTGCTCAATTCTGAGAATAATTTTACATAACATTTACATTTTTCGTATGATAGGTTTAAAATTAATGAGAAAATGGCAGCAAAGGCCAATGGCAATGCTAAACGTAATCTGGAATTTAACAAAACACGACATATTATGTAATGAATAATAACCGTTGCATGGTTCAAACGGCCACTTTCATTGGTCAAAAGGGCGTAATTACCCCCTGGAACGTTACGTTTAAAACGTAAACAAACATGAAAAAATTCGCACGCTGCAAGCTTGAACGCAAATGGCAGTAAATATGATACATAGCTACATTCACAAACGATTGTGACTGACATACATGTCAAAACGTCTGGCACAATTGCAAGGTCGGGTGAAATTCGAAACAGTATAGCATTGAGTGTAGCATTTCAAAATCGCTAGGGGGTTAGTCTATACATATATCTATTCATGCAATAGGCGAGTTTAAAAGCGCGAAAAAGATAACTCAGTTTATACAGCGGTCAAATAGTCAAAATGCTTGACCTTCTCACTTTCACTTTTGTGGTTCATTGACGTCATTTATTGTATTTTGTTCTGTTTTAGGGACCGCTCATTATTTATTGTACAGGGGGGGACTGAGGAGAAACTCTACAGTTGTAATATTTTTTCATTGCCCCCCTCTTAAGACAAGTAAAATTTTCAAAGCCCCCCCCCCAACAGGCAAAACAAGAACATAAATTTCCCCCCCCCCCTCTAGCTCTTTATCTTTATTTAGAGAAACAAAAACTCTAGCTGTTTATTTTAGAGAAAGAAAAATAGGTAATGGGGACCAATAGACATTCCCATTATAGACTAATTTTTTATCTTACCAAAAAAGGTATATTCCCGGGAGGGTCATATGATACTAAAATTACTAAAATTCCAAAGTTTGGTTGCAAAATGTTGTAAAATATGTAGAAAATATAGCCTTGCAAAGTTTGCAAATTTTGTATTCTTTTGTATAATTGCAATTTTCGCATGCAATACAAAAGTGTACAAAATTTGCAAACTTTGCAAGGCTATATTTTCCGTATTTTGCAACAATTCGCAACCAAACTTTGCAATAATTTACTTATTTTAGTATGCTCTTTCTAGCTGTGGTGATTTATTTGCATCAAGGCCGGATTTTGAGGGAAGTGTGGAGAGGTGCGCACCTCCCCAGAGATCGTTTTGCACCTCCCCTGAGAATTTTCCACCTCTCTTGAAAGGTCATGCACTTCCCCTTGGGAAAGTTTCAATGATAGAACAAAGTGAAAAAGTGATGGTTGCTTAGGATCTACACTTTGTGACGTAAGAAAGTTTTCTCTGTAAAATTGAAACAGTGATAGCCATGTCAAGCACCCTTTTAATGCAATGTTTTGAAAGAAACAGTGTAGCAATTGTAATGAAGGGCAAGATTGGAGTCATACATTCATAATTCATTAATACACTGGTACATATTATGTACACTACATGCATACCTCACCTCGTTGATATTGGCCTGTTCTACAATAAGCCCTAACTTTCCATGGGAGTTGCGAGCTAGACCGCTGCACCTCTCCTAAAATTTTTGTCCACCTCCCCCACTATTTTCACCAAAATCCGGCCTTGATTTGCATCTCTTTGCTTAGTTCTAAAATTAGTCTATAATGGGAATTGTCTATTTACATGAACACGAGAGACTTTTTATTTGACTTCCATTTATGAATATTAAAGTCTATAAATATTGTTATTTGTTGTTAAGTAGTTTTGTGATACATTTTTAAAACTACTAATGTTTTTTCAAACTGGTAAATGTTTTCAAAGCCCCCCTTCTTTCGTCTCTCTGTATTTTTTCAAAGCCCCCCCTTTCAGGTTTTGAAAAATTTGAAGGCCCCCCCAGTTTCTCCTCAATCCCCCCCTGTACAATAAATAATGAGCGGTCCCTAAGTCTCCTGTCAAAATGACGGGTCAACTTGATTCGGGCTTTAAAGTCGACCAGAGTTTGTGATCAGGAGTCGAACACCTCAGTCCTCACCGTTGACACACTGAAGAGTGACGAGACATTTCAATGCAATAAATTGTATTTTTATTTCATTTCCACCTAAATTTTACATTCAATCTTATTACCCCATTTTCAACATTTATATAAAAAGAAACAAAATACAGTTAGTTTGGCCATAAACGGAGAATAAAATTGAATAGACAAAAACCTTGTCAACATAAAACCGATTAAAAATTATCTGATAAGATCAATTGTTAGTCCATTTTAATACATAGTCCATTTGTGTAGCTTTTGTGCCTACTGACAGTTGCATTGGCAAGTAAGATGCTCCTCCACTGGACCCCATGTGTCAACCGACCTCGTTTCCAAGGCAACAGTAGGGTCACCAGCTTGGATTCTTGCAACCAAAGGATCATTGGCAGCCAGGCAATGGTAGGCAACTTTCTCGAATTGATGTTTCTGCCCAGCGGTGCATTGGGCCACACAACGTAAGAATCGTCCAATAGTAAAGCACACTTTGCCTTCAGGAGCGCCTGTGGTCAACTTCATATGTTTGCCTTTCAGTTTGCATTCTGTTCGAATCAAATCGAGAAAACAAATGTCAGTGTAAATCATATATAAATATGAATACAAATAAATCATATATATGGATAGAATGCAAGTTTGTATAGGTAATAGTATGGTTTCGAGTGCAATTTGGCAAAAACATGCACGAGTGAGTTTCTCAGAGACGATCAAAATTTTATTAATAATATACATTAAAAAATTATGCAGTCACGTGCGTAAGTCACATTTAGAAATTAAGAAATTTGAAAAATCAAAAATTAAGAAAAAATTAAGAAATTTGCACTGTATTTCATTTTTTGGCAGTGTATTTTGAAAAAGTTGCACTGTCCTTAGCCAATCAGAATTGAGAATTTTTTTCATGTATATTATTAGCTTAAAAATAGGCTACAAAGCTCACATGTTTGCATACAAAGATTGTTAAAACTTAAGACCATTTTGACTCGATTGAACTCATTTAGAAGGGTTTCATATATGGAAATTTTCGAGTAGCTGCTCCTGGTTAGGTCTGAATGTATAAAATTTCTACCTACAAAACTCCTTCTCCGTTAAAACTTAAGCCGGTTTAATTTCCACTGGAGGAATTTGTTCGTGTGAAGCGACTTTTTCCTTTGTCCGCATTGCTTTTGCTGACGTGATAAGCATGGGCGTACCGGGCGGGGGGCACCCTCCCCCAGTTTGTTGGGTAAACAAAGCCAGTCGGGCAATATTCGTTTCACAGTCGGGCAATATTGGCTTATTATAAAAATAAATGGGACAAATTCTGTCAATTTTGTGGGAAATTCTGTCAATTTTGTGGGAAATATGCTATCTAATAGGAATTTTCGTAATCACTCCCCCTCTCCGTCTACAACAATTTTGGAAAGTTTCTCAGGAAATTTTTTTCTAACAACTCGGGCACAATCCGAAAAAGTCGGGCAAATTTCTTTCCGCCCCCCTAATTTTAACTTCCCGTACGCCCATGGTGATTAGCAATACCGACATCGCATTGAGCGAACAAATTCGCCTTGTGGAAAACAGGCCTAAGACTTTGACAGGCCTAGGACAAGTTATCATTCAAATTATTTAAGGCTTCTAGAATTCATTGAGAAGGGGTGGTCGCCCCCAGCGTCCTTTCCCTACTTACGCTTGTCCTTGCATGTAGTGCCTTCAACAACCCATTCTCTCAAGAATTCCTTTGTCATTGTCTCTGGCATGAAAGTCTTTCGTCGAGTGCCAAAATCTGTCCATTGTTCACCATCATTGTTACCACATATCCCCTGGATACGGTTATGATACCATGGTGAGAAGAGGACGATTGTCATGCTGCCATCAAATAGACATTGGAAACCAGCCTAAAGCGAAATACGTATTTGCATGATTAGAAAATAATTTCATAGTTGTTTATTGTTCTGCTTCGATTGAAGTCTGATGGCGAGGTGACACTTAAGACAAGGTGTCAAGTGTAGGCGAGTTGTATGTTTAATTTACACAGTACAACTCAAGTTGTAAGCAGGTTGTATGCGAGAGTTTTAGGCAAAAGTTGTGTAGTGTAAATCGGTCTTAATAATGTCATATTAGACTTTTTTGTATCTAAAAATTAAAGTTCCCTTTACAACCCTTTTACTAACTGTGGATCCATATTTGTAGTTCCAACACTTTTCAAGCTTTTTTCAAATTTTGAAAAATCACTATCTAGTGGATAGCACTATTCGGCCTTCGACTTCGTACAACCCACCCCTAATAAATTAAATTAAATTGAACTAAACTCAATTTGGATAGGATTCCTTTAATCAGTTCTAAACTGTTCGCATAAGGGTCATCCCTAATTAACCCAGTGTTATGCAGGAGGAAACGTAGACAAAACTACTTATATTTATACTGAATAGCTATATCAGTTCTAAACTGCTCTGTCTATAGAGGTCCGCAAAAGCCGTGACTTTTTCACGCAGACGAAAACAGGAGTGCCCGCGGAGACAACCTGTGGTATTTCGTAGAGTCAAACTGAACGTTTCTTCTTTATTAATTGTAGAGGTGACGTACTAACCACTGCACTGCACTGCCAACAGCTCCGAATATTAACTTGAAGATCTATTTCAGAACGTTTATATTGTCTTTATATAAAAATAAATACAATCATACTCACATCTGCTTGGAAGTACACTTGATTGTTAATCATGGCGACCTTTCCTCCGGGAACTACATTCATTCCAGGTTTAATTTCAACTTTCACGCCATTGACTTTAACAGTCTTATCTTGTTCTATCTCGATCTTGTCCTTGCCAATCTCAGCAATCAATTGCTGTCTGCCACCCTCGACCTTTCTTAACAAGATTCGCCACTTGGCTACCTCTTCTCGTGCGTCCTCGGCGAGGACGAATGGACAGTGGCCAGGGATTTCTTCTTTAATGACGACGTTATCCGTGGTCTCGATATGGTTTGTACCTTGGACTAGACATGCTCCTGAATAACAGAATGTTTTGAAAGTATTAGCGAACTTACTGTAAGCCTGGTTCACACTAGCAATTTTGTCGGCGATTTTGTGTTTCTGACGGATGTAAATTAGTAAACTCGCACACGTATAGAGTCGCTTTTCAGAAGCTTTTGCATGTCATTCATTCGATTACATTTGCCAGGAGAAGAAAAATCGCCCACAGAATTACTAGTGTGAACCATGCTTTAAGCAAGGCTTATTCTTGTGCGGATACCTGATAAGAAACGGCCTTACATTTTACACTTCAAAAACTATGAAATATCGCTATTAGGAACTTCTGGAAAGGACAGAAATGCGGCAACGACTACGGGGCTACTAATACAATTAAATTCATAATATTGTAGAAAAGAAATTGTTAATTAAGTGTAAGGGGTTTAGATGTTGTCCCCGTTACATTTACAACGGCAAATAACAGATTATCACGTCTTGTGTACAACGGTTGCGACAACTGAGCAGCACTATTTTCATATTGAGTCCTAAAACTATTCTCAATCATAAAGCCTTGTCTTAAGCTCGATCACCACCTTGTGTTGCTGTAAATCGTAGTTCTTTAAACTTTCTTGCCTTAAATTCCATGCAATATTTAGCTTAATCTGTAGCCTACCAAGTCTTTCATGATTGAAAATTGTTGTTACAGTTTTGTTACACATACAGTTATTCAGTTATCATTCCGAGGCTTTCAGAAATTATTGGGGGGGGGGGGGTTATACTAAACTTTATTTATACTGGATACGTGCTTTATTGTTATGACTTACCATAAAATAGTTTAATCATTTCAACTCGGTTCTTAACGTAGAAATTATTTATAGCGAATGGCAGTGCTTGGTTGATGCGGCGAAGCTGCATGGTTGGCGCATTAACAAGAATGTCGGCGACAAATTTGTTGAACAGTTTCACTTCAATTTCGCAACGTTTCTCTGCGCCAATAACTCCCTTGATGCCGAAGAAACGATGTAGGAATGTGATCATTCTTGGACGGTGTAGACGAACGAACTCGTGGACCCATACTGGCAACTGTATTGGGGGGGAATGAGACTCATATTATATACTGAGCTAAGTCAACAAAATAACTTTATATACAGGATAGATCTATTAATAATTCTAAACTATTCTCCGTAGAGGTCCAGTAACTACAGGAGGGGACTTTAACTTGGGGGCTTTGTTCTCGCATATAGGCGGACCTGTGGTCATACAAGGGTCCCTCCCAGAGGTAAAAGGACTGTTGACCATAATCTCTCATAATCATAAGGCAACAAAAGGTATAACACACCCTTCCGGAAAGTACGTCACCTTGACTATAGATCCTCGTTTTTTCGTGTATTCGACATGAGTTTGTCGTTTAACCGAGTCCAATGTCCGAGTCACTGTTTAGCGGTCTTGTAGTTCAATGACGTAACACTATTCGATTGTAAATTTTATTCAATTTCGTCTTTTTTTACGTGACTCAGACGTTTGACTCGGAATTGACTCGGATTTGACTTGGTAAATGGATTTACTCTGCTCGACATTAATTAAAGCATTACGTGTCAATCACGAAAGCGAGACTCTATGGCGAGATACTTTCGAGAAGCGTGTATTGTCATTCACTGTAAATAACCAACCTTATTCCATGTATTAACAATACGCAAGGCCTTTCCTTCTTCCTCAACCAAAACCTCATGGTTCAACTCTTTATCACCACCATATTTTGTATTTATTTCCAGCCTATTTGCCTGTGAGTAATCAATGGTCATGTCAGCCGTGCATGTTTGAGGGCATTTCTTGTGCTTGAAAATCCATTTCGTATCACAGGTCCATTTCGTTTTATCACAATGTGGTGTCATGGTCGCGGTTGTCTGCACTATTGTTTTGCCCAAGATTTGGATCGTGCCCTGTCCTTCATACACAGCTAGAGTAATAAGAAATTTCATACATAAATCAAACCTAATTTTGACTACTGAAGGTGTGGTTGCCCAATGGACCATTTGCATTATAGACTAAATTTTGATCTAAACAAGTCTAGACAAAAATTTCATCACAGCTTGAAAGAGCATCACAAAATTAGTAATATTCCAAAGTTTCGTTGCGAAATGTTTTAAAATGCGGATAATAGAGCAGTTTGCCGTTTTTCAGTCATTTTATATTACAAACGGGAAATTGACAGTCCCAAAGGGTATTGGGCTGTCAATTTCCCGTTTGTAATACAAAATGACTGAAAAACGGCAAACTTCGCAAGGCTATATTATCCGCACTTTAACACATTTTGCAACGAAACTTTAGAATATTACTAATTTTGTGATGCTCTTTCAAGTCGTGATGAAATTTTTGTCTAGACTTGTTTAGATCAAAATTTAGTCTATAATGCAAATGGTATTCAACTAAAGCCTAGGTATAACAAAGATGAGAGTCGATGAGAACAGACTTGTAAAAAGTGTTTAATGTTCCTCGGATCCTGAATTTGTCTTTTTCAAACATTCCTCAAAAGTGCGTAAGAACAATGCAGAACTTGAACGTACATTACGCCATTATGTGTGCAACAACAAAGTATACTTGATTGTATTTATGCCACATGTCTCAAATGACAGATAAGGAAGTATGATGTATGTGTGAAAGATTGAAAATGTCCTTAATCATCTTGCTACGGCAAATGTTCTTCAGGAGAGAGGTGTGAAGCGAGAGTTTGCATGAGAGTTTTCTCAACTCTTGTTTTCCGGTGAAAAGCATGAGAGTTGATGACATACTAAGAGACATTTAGAGTTGAGACTTGAGAGACATACCATCAGTGTTAGTTGTGGTCGTATAGGAAGCCATGAATTTTGTTGGTGTGTTCTCATCGTCATTTTTCAGGCGAAGATCCAATTGGTTCAACCAGTAGTATGGGAAGGTAGTTATACGTTTCAATCGGAGGTACTCAGGGTCAGCAATACGTCCTTGTACACACAGCCAAAGAGTAAGATAGTCTTTACCATAGCAAGTCTGTGGAACCTAGGAGGTGAATTGGAATAAATATTGTACTAGTGTTAAGCTTGTTTAAATATTAAAATATACTGTAAGGCACACTGGAAACAAGGGGTAAAACATTTTGTTTTCTAGCCAAGTTTCCCAAAGGTGGGCAAACCAAGAAACATTGTTTCCTAGCCATGTTTCCAAAGGAGGGCAAACTAGGAAACATTGTTTCCTAACCATGTTTCCCAAAAGTGGGCAAACCAGGGAACATCGTTTCCTGGGCAAGTTCCCCAAAGGTGGTCACACCAGTTTTCCTAACCAGGTTTCCCAAAAGTGGGCAAACCAAAAAGCATCGTTTCCTAGCCAAGTTTCTCAAAGGTGGGGCAAACCAGGAAACATTGTTTCTCAAGCATGTTTCCCAAAGGTGAGTAAACCAGGAAGCACTGTATTCTAGCCATGTTCCCCGATGGTGGAAACATTGTTCCCTACCCATGTTCCACCAAACTTACATCAATGAAACCACGGTTTCTGAGTTGTAAATCAATGTTAAACCATTGTCTGTTTCCAACGACCAGTTCTTTACGCATCACGGCATGCACTTTAGGTCTGAGGAAAGATGGTAGTTGTAAGTTACATTAAAACCTATCTGTATTATGAAAGTAGTCTATGATATAGTGTGGTTTGGCATGGCATGGCATGGTATGGTATGGTATGGTATGGTATGATATGGTATGGTATGGTATTGTATGGTATGGTATGGTACGGTATGGCAGTATGGTATGGTATGGTATTGTATGGTATGGTATGGATGGTATGGTATGATATGGAATATGGTATGTAATGCTATAGTATGTATGGTATAGTATGCTATGGAATGACATTGTGTGTATGGTACAGTTTGGTATGCTAAGGTGCACAAACTTACTTCAATACCAAAAGCTTTTGATCAGCTGCAGCGATGGGTGCTTCCAGTTTGAATCCTTGCTGGTTGAGAGTGAGAGTGACATCAATTTTTGGTTCTGAGAACAGTTGATGTTGGAGCATGAGACCAGTTTCAAAGATTGGCAGCCAAACGCCGACTTTATGGTGCATGTGGAATGCAATCCTTTAATAAATGACAAGATTAATATACAAGGTTCGTTTTTTCATGTTATGGTAAAAACTTGGCCGAGGCCTTGTTTTCAATACACACTTTTCCGTCTATGATATACAACATAAAAACACAGAAATATGTCCATTTTAAGACCCCAGCCTTCTTCTCTATTATGATACAAACTTACGTTGGTTTAACGGTAATCTTGGCTACAATTTTCTCGAATTTGGAGGTGATCAGTTGTGGTACTCCAGTGAGAGTGGCGCCCATGCGTCCCTTCACGACAACAGCGACTTTAGCGGAGTATTTGAGTGCAAAACCAACAAAAGTGGGGATCATGTAACGTTTCTCGCTGAGTAGATGAGCTCTGGTAAATGGCATATCACATATGATGTCTTTGGCTGTGAATGTGCAACCTGGAAAACGGGAAAATTTGCGGTGTGTTCAGTTGAGGTCATCACAGGATCGAACCTAGGATCTTTTCTTGCACAAATATATTTCCGTTTGATTTTGACCCCAACCAAAACCCTATCCCTAATCTTTACCCTAAATGTACTATGTTTGTAACAATGCAACGTCGTCCAACGTTGTTGGCCCAGCAACTTTAAGAATCCATTTTTAAAATATAAGTCAGAGCGCTGGCGTCAAATAAGAGACTCTGCATGGGGTTCGATTCTCGAAATGGTTTTGTCAGCTCCATATTCTAAATTTCTTTTGCTATAAAGCTCATGCTATGTTCTTAATATGTTAACATAGTTAACATAGCATAAGTCTCAGTTAATAGCAAAACGAATTTGTTGTTTTTTTGGGGGATGGTCTTCCTATGCTGTTTTAGTTCAGCTATATGTATGTGTTTCTACACATCTTTGTGTTTTAAAACGTCAGAGAAAATAATGCAGACAAAAATTCTAAGGAAATATTTCAGAATTTATAAACCAGGGTTCGTACATGTGAGAAAGAGTGAAATTCAAGGACTAAATACTGAAGAAAAGGGGATAGAAATCAGATATGAACATACAAAATCAATTCAACAAAATGTCCGTTTAGAATGTCAAACAATTTCAGATAATATCCAAAAACTAAAAACTTTACAAATTCAAGGACATTCAAGGCCTTGAATTTTTGTTCTCAAATTCAAAGACTTTCAAGTTTCACTTTTTCGGTGGATAATAAAAAATTACCGGATAAAATCCAGCCTGCCTGTGTGGAATAGCTCCCGTGCCAACTCTCCCCCCAACACACTTCTAAACAGGCTCCGCGGTCCCTGGAACCCTGATAAACAAGCTGTTGGGAAATTTGCTTTGAATTATAGGTTAACCGTGGCTTTTTAAAACGCAAAAAGCTAAACTGGCTTTTACAAAATCTCACCTCCTTCAGTGGTCGTTTTCTTGCCGAACAAAGCATCTCGGATGATTTCAAGTAGATCTCCCTCAACTAGTTTACCGTAAAGAACCTCAGAACCGTACATTTTAATATAGGTCGCCAATCTTGCTGGGAGTTTTTTCTACAAAGAAAAACAGAATTCAAAACTTCCTAGTACTTTTAACTGCTTAAACTGCCATGGGTTGTTGTGTCTGAATTATCTGAAGACACAGCCTGCTCTAATTGTTAAATACAATACAAACCCAACCGCTGCTACCGAATTCACTCACATATATAATTTAAATGCTTGGTTACCTTTGTTCCATTCTATGCTTACATTATGAGAACAGTGGTAACTAGGCATGTGAGTTATCAAATAATTCACTCACACATATATAATTTAAACGCTTGGTTACCTTTGTTCCAATCTATGCTTACATTATCAGAACAGTGGTAACTAGGCATGTGAGTTATCAATTCACTCACATATATAATTTAAATGCTTGGTTACATCTGTTCTGATTATTTATGCAAAAAATAGAACAGTGGTAACTAGGCATGTGAGTTATCCAAAAATGTGAATTAGGTGGAAACCATTGAGGAAAACTCATATACATGCTTGCACTAGTTTATCTTTTCAAATTTTCCTAACCTGGAATCCAATTTTCTCACGAACATCTTCACGTTCTTCTTCAGTTGTGGTTCCAAAGATGTATTTAAGGATGTCTAGGGATCGCTTTTCGCGGTTTCCATGATCAGGTCCCAGGAACGGCATGAGGATGTCATGGATTCCTTGAATGCGTGTTCCAATCTGGAAATAAATTTTTAAAAATACTTTAAAACTCATTTGTATTTATTGAAAAACAATAAACTAAACTATTAAACTAACTTTATTTATACTGGATAGCAGTTCCACACAGTTCTTTTTAGAAATCCAGGTAGGGCATCCAGTGTTGTTATTATTATTATTATTATTATTATTATTATTATTATTATTATTATTATTAGTTTAATAAAATCCATTTTGCAGCTAAAGCTGAATTACATGGAAACAATATTTACATTATTAAATATTAAAATTTACGTAGTTAACAATGTTATATAGTATGATAATATGTATTCTATCCTAAATTAGCTCTGATTGGCGAAACCCGTGTTTGGATCAGGCCATCCAAACACGGAAGACTATCGTGTTGTTGTTATTTTATAAAACAATTACTTTATGGTTTCCGTGTTTGGATGGCCTGATCCAAACACGAGCGTGTACAGACGTGAACGGACGTGTCTTGTAAGCTCTGCGATATTTTTGAAGATATACTAAGCTAAAACCGATCAATATGTCTCAAGGTGACATAACTAAAATAAATCCACTAAGTTTCACAAATAGAAAACTTAAATGGCTTGGTGATTTTGATTTATTTGAGAAATTTGTTAATGACATATTAAACATCAAAGGCGAGTGGAAGAAGGCGAGTGGAAGGTTCCGCGTGGCGGTTGTAAACAGCTGAAGACGAAAGATATCACTGTACACTGGTACGAAAACCGAAGTGTGTTGTTGGATGGTCCAATGAAAGATGAATACTCCGATATTCTGCAAAGAATAGCCACTATTTCACCGAATAACATAAGCAATTTGGGAGTTGACGACTTTGCTGATGTATCACCCACGCATATGCCTTCCCTGCCGAATATTAATAACTTTATGGTAAATACGAACATGTCGAGTGCTGAACTGTTGGATTTTGATGCTTCTCAAAATGACTCTGCACACTTTTCAACTAATAATGGCGCTACAAATGGATCTGAGCAAACCCTTAAAGAAATTTCGATATGTGTGGAGGGAAACGCACTGGATGATGTTATGAATCGCTTGAATGCATTGTCTAACGAATTTGAAATATATAAATCCGAAACGACCATAGTATTGAACGAGCTTGTAGATGGGTATGAAATTCGTAATAGCCAAGTGAGAGATAATCAACTTGCCCAAGAAAACGACTTATTAAAAAAAGCAAATATGGCACTTAAATCTGACGTACATAAACTTGAATGTCTATTGTCCGAAACCAGTTCTAAATTAGTAGCTGCGGAAAGCGAAAAAGCTAGTCTCGTGACGGTTATTCGGTTAATGAATGAGGATTGTGCTAATGCTGTTAAAGATGTAGGGGACAACGTTCGCAGTCAAACGACTCAACCAAGAAATCCATGGTGTACGGTTCATACAAGAAGTGAGAATCAAAAAGGTAACGAGGTTACAAGACTGCACAACCAGTTCTCGTCTTTAGAGGACGAGGCAAATGAACTAAACAATAACAGTGACTTTGATGCTTCCGTAATTAATATTGATTCTGATATACAACAACCAACACCTAGTCAAAATATGTCTGAGAGTACAAGTAAATTTACAGAGCCCAAGGATGACAGAACGCAAGGTACAAGTGGTAACAGTGATCGAGTACCAAAGAAAGGTATTGCACTTATTGGGGATTCAATAATCAAAAATGTTAGTCCGGTAAAACTCTCAAAAAGGAAAGTTTATAAATTCACATATCCAGGTAAAACAACTATAGAAATAACTAATGAGCTTGCCAAAATTAATATTAAACCGGACCCGTCTCATGTTGTTATTCACGCAGGGACAAATGATGTCCCTGTTGAATCTATAGACGAATGTGTTGGTAACATGGAAAAACTTATTACAACAGCTAAACAGAAATTCCCTAATTCTAAAATTGGAATTTCTGGACTTACATTGAGACAGGATAGTGATTTAATATCAAAAATAGAAGAAATTAATGAGAAAGTTCAGAGTTTGTCATCTAAGCATGATGTGACATTTATAAGTAATATGTCAATAGATGAGACATGTTTGAACTCTAGTGGCCTGCATCTAAATGCAAAGGGGACTGCCATACTAGCTACACATTTTATTAAGTTCCTTAGGGATGGGCAATCCTTACGTTCACTGCGCCCACAAAAACATTCCCGTCAGGATTTTCCAAAGAACACGATAAACCATCTGGCAGAACTACTAAATGCGATGAATGAACGTGAACAAGTAAATTGTCAAGATGTGCCAAGCAATTCTTTATTAGGCATAGATAGTGAAATTAACATAATCGCCAAAAGTAAAGGTTTGAAGATAGCCAACTTAAATGTAAATAGCTTAATGAAACATCTGGATGAAATTCGCTTAATCCTTAACAATAACGCCCTTGACATTCTTGCAATTAATGAGTCCAAAATTGATAATCAGATTTCAAATAATGAGATACATATTGATGGTTTTAATATAATTCGTAAAGATCGAAATAGGTTTGGTGGTGGTGTGGTTCTATATGTTCGCCAAAACATATCATTCTCAGATAGAATAGATCTAATCCCTGTTGAACTTGAGATGGTCTGCATTGAATTAAGTTTACCCTACAATAAATCACTGCTAATAAGCACATGGTATAGACCACCAAATCCCCCTACGAATAAATTTGATTACTGGGCAAGCTTTTTAGCAAAATGTGATAATGAAGATAAGGAGCTAATCCTCATAGGAGATCTAAATTGTGATGCCAGTAAAACTATACCTGACCCTCACACATGTAAGTTGCAATTTTTATGTTCTCTGTATCAGATAGACCAACTTATTAAAGAATCTACAAGGCTAACTCCTAAATCAGCTACACTAATTGATTTAATATTAACAAATAGACCAGAAAATATTTCCAGATCAGGTGTCATTCACCTGGGAATTTCAGATCACAGCCTTGTCTACGCTGTTAGAAAATTTACACTACCGAATGGAAGGCAAAAAATTCGTCAGGTTCGTAACTTTAAAAACTTTGTCGAAAATGATTTCATTCGGGATGTGTCTCAATTGCCTTGGGAGATGGTCTATCAGTTTGGAGATCCCAATTTATGTTGGCAAGTCTGGAAATCACTATTATTAGATGCACTTAATAGACATGCCCCTCTGCGCCACAAGCGAATAAGGAATAACCCTGTCCCATGGATTAATCCTCAAATTAAAGAACTTATGAGAAAAAGGGACTATCACAAAAAAAAGGCCATAAAATATGATTCGGAGTCACAGTGGGAATTGTATAAAACACTACGTAATGAAGTAAATATAAACATGCGGAAAGCAAAATCTAAGTACTTTGTGATAAAATCCAGGCAAGCTCTCAAATGGGAGACAGTAAAAGTGGATGGGCTTGGATAAATTCGCTCTTAGGAAGAAAGCATAAGAATGCAAATATTAATGAACTGAAAGTAAATGATGATATTATTTCTGATGATAAATCTATTACTGAAACATTAAATGAATATTTTATAAATATTGGAATGAAGATGGCTGCTGAATCAGCATGTCAAAGCACTGATGCTTTAAATGATCAAGTAATTTATGAAAGTACTGCATGTGCTTCTTCCTAAAGAAAATTTTCACTTCGCAGATATTACTATAGATAGTGTTTCCAAACGCCTACAAAAACTAAATGTCTCAAAAGCGACAGGTATGGATGGAATACCTGCGAATATTTTAAAACTGACATCAACCCTTATTGCTCCATCTATAACTTTTATATTTAACCTATCGATTAGAACTGGTATTTATATAGATGAGTGGAAATTGGCTAGAGTTATACCAATTTACAAATCTGAGGATAAGCGTAAATGCGAAAATTATAGACCAATTTCAATTCTTCCCATAATAAGTAAAATATTTGAAGGGGAAGTTTTACTCAAATATATAGCTTTTTGAATAAACATGCGCTTCTGTCTAAATTTCAATCCGGGTTTAGACCAAAACATGGAACCTTAGGTGCTCTTATACAAATGTGTGATCAATGGCTACAAGACATGGATGAAGGCAAAATAAATGGAGTTGTTTTTCTTGATATATGTAAAGCATTTGACTCGGTGAATCACGAGATATTATTGGAGAAGCTTAAAACCCAGTTTGGAATTCACGACATTGAATTAAAATGGTTCCAATCATACTTAAGGAATAGAAAGCAAGTGTGTTCTGTTAATGATCAAACTTCTTCTGCAAGAACAATAATATGCGGAATTCCGCAAGGATCCATACTTGGTCCATTATTGTTTTTGCTATATATTAATGATATGCCTGATATTCTAGAAAGGACAACCCCATGTCTTTATGCCGACGACACTCAGATATCTTCCTCTTCGCATGATTACGATACATTGATTGACAATTTGAATATGGACCTTTCCAGTATTCATAAATGGCTTGCTAAAAACAAACTAAAATATCATAGGAAAAAAACAAAAGTCATGTTTATTGGATCTACGCATAATCTAAATCATAAAATAGGAAATAGAGCCGTTGAGATTAACAAAATCCCAGTCCCACAAACCAATACATTTAAATGTCTAGGTGTAAATCTAGATGAAAAATTAAGTTGGGAGAAACATATTGATTCTGTATGCCATAAGATTAGCGCTGGAATAGGAGCAATTAAAAGAATAAAACCTTATGTTCCACACAAAACCTTACATGATGTCTACAAAACATTAATTCAGCCTCATTTTGATTACTGTTCTCCCCTATGGGATAACTGTGGTTTTGGACTTCAAGACAAATTGCAAAAATTCCAAAATCGAGCAGCAAGGGTGATTACCGGAGCTGACTACGATGTAAGATCGTCTGAAGTCCTAAACAAATTAGGCTGGGAAAACCTGGCTAGGAGACGAGAACAAAACAAGCTAGTATTGATGTATAAAGTCTTGGGGAACCACACTGCGCCAAACCTTAAAGATCTTTTTTCTCGGAGAAATGCATCGCAGAATATTTA